TGGCAGAAAGGGACCATGCTGGAAACTGCCAACTCCAGATAAGCACTTGGAGGTGTTACTAGCTGGGAATTTCCACCTTGCCTGTGGCCACAAGCAGTCTAAGCTCCTCCACATGGAGGGCACAAGGACTACAGTCTGCCCCCACCTGCAGCTTCGTTTCTTCTTGGCTAGCAAAAATATGGAGTCTTTTATAGTGGTTACCACAGCTAATTCACTGAGGCCTTCAGTTTTACACTCTGGGCTCTAGAACTACCAAAGGTTTTTGTATTACAGCAGCACTGAGAAATGCTTACTTGCTCCAGTCAGGGCACCAAGCATAGCACAATCACATAGTAAGAGATTGTGTCCCAAAGAGCTTCACATAAAGAATGGCTAGGATTGGTACTTTACAGTGCAAAGGAACGAAGGAAGAACTGATAAGACTGTAAAATCAACAAGGGAGGAGGTAGTGCCACCACTCATATACATGTATTTCTCTGAATCAGCTAAGTTAGAGGCTAGTCTCCATCTGGAGTTAAGGAAGTCACCTTCAAAAGGCAATTCAGACCACTTAAGTTGGGATCCTGCTTCAAATCACCTTCTGAAACTATGGATGGGTATGCCTCCAAAGATGGCAGTTTGAGTCCAAAGCAGTAAGTTGGTTTATTATCCAAGTGAGACTTAACTGAGTCACCGCAGGGGTAACAAAACCCTGTGTAATTTGAGTCTTTGGTCATCAAACCACAGCTAACTCTTTCTTGCCAGAAACAAAAGCAGTAAGCCAAGTAGCTCCTCTGTAAATGGAATATAACCAACGGTCTGTTACCTTGTTCCAGTGGCCCAGGTGGCTTTCAGCAGAGGTCACCTGCACATGTGAAGCAGTCATTAGAGTGCAAATTATCAAGAATCATGCCAAATATTTACTTAACAAGGCATAGCCACAGCAAATGAAAATACTTTCAGTAAAATCCTCTCCAACCTCCATTTGCGTATCTTCCAGTCCAGCAAGGACTACAAATTTTCATGAGCTCATACAGGCAGAGGTAAAAAGGAACAAAAATATACAGTCTATAACTCTCAGAAAAACTTGTCTGCAGTTTATTGCTGCCTATAATAGATTTAATTATCATATCCCATGAAAGAGGGCATGAGTGGCAAAAAGGCAGGAGAATATCAGTAAGGTATGAATAGCAGAAAACCAGGCCAGAGCTACGTATTTAGTAAGGAAAGACAAAGAAGACAATATAGAAGATTAAAAAAGAAGGGACAAAGCACAGCATAACATGAACATTGTATTGGGGAACAAATGTTATGACTGCTTTCAAAGAATTGCTTCCTATCCATTGCTTTAGTTGGCATCTCAACTGGGGATAGGAAGCTGCTAAGTAGAAAACTAGTTGGAGTGTGGGAAGGTGGAACCTTTAAAGCAAAAGCAAAGGTCCTGGGGTTGTAAGCAAAGGTTGCAAGCAAAGTAGCTCTGGGTTTTCTATGATCCAAATTTCTGATTCATATTATTCCTACAGGCAGTATTTGGCATGGTCTTTAAATGAACTTCATGTCTTAAATACTAGTGATTCAAAAATACAAGATTTAAAACAACTGTCTTGAATCGAAAACCCTGCTAAAAAGATTGTCTATACCCGCAGGCTAACGTCCCTGTATCAAACTTTGGAAAAGCAATGAATGCATCTGAAAAAAGTTTAAAAGCATTACAATTCTTGTTCCATCTCCTACTCTACCTTTCAGGCATATTCCTCTGAGCATCACCACTCTTACAAGAAGACCTGACACCCGGATCTTCAAAGGTGTATAGCCACTGAAATCGTATTGAATTCCAAGGGAGTGAAATGCCCCTATGCTTCCTGGGGCTCTGGGAGTGAGGGTTCACTGGGAACTAAGGCCCATCGGCTGGAGTATGCTCAGCACCTGGGAGGACAAGGAGCAGTCGGTACAATCAGATGTCGCATTTCTTCCCCCTGAAGACACTGACAAAGCTGTTAGGACTCCTATTGCAGTGCTCTGAGGTGAGCCCGAAGGTGATGCTCTCATTAGACCCTCTCTCATGGGGCTCCCCACGCTGCATCTGTGCAAGCTCACGCCAATAATGGCTTCTATGGCCATTTATAACTGGTTTCCTTCAGAAACTTGGAAGGTTTTTTTAATGATATGCATCCAGAAGACTGATACACAGGTTCCTCACAGAAAAAAAGAGAAAAAAGCTCTTTTTGCACATTATGCCACTATTGTACCTTCAGCAGTTTACACAAAATTGGATTTTTAAAAAGACATACGGCTGTTTTCTCTTAGTTACATGGTTGAAATTCAGGGAAATTTTCATCAGATTTACAAGGGAGTAAGAGTAGAATATAGACAGAAGTGCCACAGGGCTGAAGAGAGAAACAAAACCAAACGAATACACGGCTGCATACATTTAGTTTCTTAGCAAAACAACTGGCAATTATTGAGGGAGAAGAAAGATTTCCTAAGTCTTGCTCAAAAAAGCAAATTTCAGTGGCACAAATTACCTCTGCCAAAAGTAACTTGGATAAAGGTTTTCAAGTGTTTGCAACAAGCTTATAAAAAGAAACCAGAAAACTAAAAAACCCTCCTGGAGGTCATGTATCATGAGGAGCTAACATTTTTATTTTATATTTTTCCCAAAAAGGACACCACAAAAGCTGTACTATGAAGAACTAAATAATTTGCAAGAAAGTAGACATATTTATGTACAAATTGTTCATTGTAACCGTAGCTGATGAAAACTGGTAAAATGCCATTGGCTTGTGCGGAACTGTACAAATTCACAAAAGGGTGTGCGTACAGCCATGTACTGAAGTATGAGGCTGCATTAAGAGACCAACTGCTCAGTTAACTAAAAGCAAAGCTAAGAAGGGTCTTACTGTATTTTAAAGAATCTGGACAAGCCAAGGATCTGGTCTCCTTTTTGTTCCTTTTTTCCTGATTACTATAATAATTTTAATAAGACGGCTTATAAAAGCTTGCCGTTTCCAATAGCTATTTCTTCTGAACAAAAACCCACTCTTGGGAAAAAGTATTCCTTCCCCATAGCAGCAATGGGGTACTCCACACAAAGAAGCACCTAGCAGTTTAGTTCACATTTTTTAATAACATGGCACAATTTACATTACACAAGTCTTCGCTGATGAGGAAACATGCTGAAGATTGAGAGCCGCTTCACTTTTCTTTTCACATAGGATCTAGAAAGGACTTTATTACATACAGGATAAACAGCAAAAAGGTTCGTATATAACAATCTCTTTACAATACTGAAAGCTACCACTACGGTTCCAGTGTACATATTCTTCAGGGTTGGGGTTTTTTTGTATTTTTCCTTTTGTTCTTTAAAAAAAAACAAAAAAAAAAAAACCACTGCACAACATCTGGAGTTCACAAAATCTGAAGCTCACAACTAAACCTTCAGTTGACTACTAAAATAGATCTCTGATCATTAGAAACAACTGTCTGTAGTTAACTTTTTTCTTTTTTTTTTTTTTTTTTGCCAAAACAGGATAACAACTTCAGATAGCACTTTAATACACTAGAAGACCAACGGAACTAATTTTATTTCATACATATATTTTACAGTCCAGTAGACAAGATATTGAATTCTCTCTGATAAAGTCATATTCTCTCCAAATATTTAGACAAGAAACTTAACGCATTATAAAAAAGTGTGTTATGAAAAGACAGATTTCAGAAGATTGATGCATATTTTTAAAAAGGACCATGTTCTTCATGTTATTTCATGACTTCTATGATTAGGGAACAACACGGCTGACCTGTTAACTATTCACAGACTTTATTACCAACTGAAATACAATAAATTGCATTATGAAATCTGCATTGGAGTTCATTAATTAAACTACTGATCCACAGTGAAAACATATCCATCATTTAGAAAAGTATTTGCTTTCTTGTAGGATTTGTTTCAATGTAGCTAAAAATCACTTAACAAAAAAAAAGAAGTGTGTGTGTACAGAGAAAAATGACACACTGGCAATAAAAACAGACATGAATGGCTATAAGCAGATGTTCTTCCAAAAATAAATTGGACATGTTAAGTGACGAAAATTCTGGAAAATATCCAGCATTTGATTATTACTCTGTTTAAGTGTAACCCAGATTAATGTGACTGAAAACCAATCTGTCATGACTACAGTATCAGTGATTACAGATCGCTACCCCTGACGCATTCTAAGGAATACATGAGCTACAGTAACATCAGCATCTTGATGCAGGGGTTCAGACAGAAAACTACACTTCTAATGGGCTGCTGCTTCATCAAAACAAGCAGGAGAAATAGGTTTCTATTATAGATGAGCTTGTTCAGGGAAAATATGACTTTAATTATGTTGTGTGTTGAAAAGGCTCCTTTGAGTTATAAAGGCTTTTGTGAAAAGCCTTAAAATTCATTGCATAGTTGAAGGGGTTTAGCTGTCTATAACAATATATGTAACACAGCATAAGCAGACTGTGTTGATCAATATTAAGTTTGCAAATAGCACAGTTTAAGAAGTATTAATGTATTATGTTACTTAATTTTATCTATTTACATTTGTACAAAGTAAAGCTTTCATCTTACCCTTTTTGCATATATGAACCATTAACCCATGAAGCAATCTTTTTACATAAATATCTACAATTGTCTTCACTTCTGGTCTGAAAGAGCTTTGTATGGTTGACACTGGTGGTGGCTTGTTTCTAGTCAAATCATTCAGATTAATGTCTTGTTCTTCAGTTCAAATTTTGAAATTTTTAAACTAGAAATAAAATAGAGTAGGAGACACGAGGAACATATGGACTTGGCTAAAAGATCTGGAAAATTTCAACAGATAATATACAAAAAAACCATTTCAAAATCTTTGCACTCAGGTCTATACATATTGTACAGTGGGTCACATTCCCAGTCTGTATCAATGACTAGTAAGAAGGTCTTTATATTATGTTCATTTACAACGTTCTGTCCCTCTTTCTCTGGTTTTTATTTATTCTCACTCTGCTTATCGAGCTTCAATGTCCTTGAGGGTGTGAGAAGGAGGCCTCTCCCTCATCTCTGTTGACAGAGGAGTAGTCCTTCTGGGAGACCCAGGCCGAGGTCCCAGAGTAGAAATAAGAGGTGGAGGGGCACTGAGAGCTGCTGTGGGGGGAGTTTTATTGAGGATGCCGTTTTGGTGTCCTGTCGGGGGACTGACTCTGGGGTAGTGCATGCTAGGAAGTCCTGGTGTGATTAGGCTTGGGTGAGGCAGGTGCCCATCCAAGGCGGCAGGGTGAACTGAGTGCAGGCGTGCATGTTCATAGTCCTCTCTGAGCATGTGCAACCGCTCCCTGTCATCCAAGTGGTTGCCCCTCTCGTGCTCACGTCGAGGATCAACAGAGAGAGGGTGGTGGTGATGGTGGTGGTGACTGTAATCGTGAGGTTCCCGATCCCTGAATGACCTGTCTGCTTCATATAATCTTGGCGTTGAAAGACGATGAAGGGGGTCATTTCTTAGCAAAAAGTCTCTGCCCAGGGGGTCTCTCCGATGAATATCTAGCTCTCTGTAAGGATCTCTTAAGGGATCTCTCATTGGATCCCAGTGGAAAGAAGGATAGGGGAAACGTTCTCCACCAGGAATTGGGCTAATTCCCATAAAAGGGGTCATCATGCGAGTCCTATCCAGGCCACTGATGCTGTTCATGTGATGTATACCAGTTACACCTACAGTCATGGGCATAGACACTAAAGGACTTGGATGGACGTTAGATGTAGATATAGGTGGTGGCTGATCAGATGACCTATGAGTCTGAGGTCCCTCAGGTTGAACATCATGGTCTTCCTTTCGTTCCTCCTTCACTTTGACTTCATTGCTTTTCTTCGGATTATCATACGCCGGCTCATTCTTTCTCTCTGCCTCACGGTTTGAAGTACTATTAGGCCTGGTGCTCTCCACAACGGGGGGTCTAGCATAGGGTGAAGGAACCCTGGACATTTGCTTAGACTCTTCCATCACTCGGCTTTCATGGCTCAGGCCTTCTTTCTCCGAAATATAGTTGTCCTTCACCTTGTGCTCTTCAACATTAATTTCTTTCCGAGATTCGGAGTGATCCCTCTCTCGTTCTTTGGGTTTCTCTTTTTCTCGAACCTCGGGATTCAGATGGCTCCTGATCTGCTCATTTGAGCTGCGATTATGTCCGAGGGAGTTTACTGGATGGATAGGTGCTGGCGAAGGATGGCTGGAGTGTCTTTTCTCAATGCTCTCCCTAGAAGAAAGAGAAGTGTAAAGATGAAGGCATGAGAAACTCTGCAAATAAAACAAAGCATCTAGGGAGTCTGACTTTATACTAATTGCTTTGCAGAAAACTAGTAACATGCACCATTAAATGCACCGTTCCTTTTGCACACCCAAGACACCAGAAGAACATCCCTAGAACTAGGCCTATTCTATTATCTCGACCCAGGAGAAGAAGATCCCCGAAGCTGCTTTGTGAATGATCCGATTGAGATTTCAAACACTGATGTCCATAGAAGGCTCCCAAGGGAATCTAGCTCTAGTACACATATTTCTAAGACAACGGCCCTAACTGTTAGCAAAGAAGAGAGAGAAAAATAAAAACATACTAATTTCATCCAAAAAAAGTGTGGCAGTTAAATCCAAATTACAGAGTTAATAGTATTTTACCTGCTTCTTCTATTAAGACTACACTTGGGAAAATAGATGACATTTTGTTCAACTGACTTTTAAAAAAAATTTCTGGACCTATGTACATTTCTAATCTCTATTTTCTGCAATCATCTTCTAGCTTTTCAATTTACTTCTCACAATTCAATTTACTTCCTAAAAGTGAAAATAAAAACCTCTCAAGACACCAGTACTGGCAGAGACAATCCACCCCTCTGAGCAGGCAGGCCCTTCTCTAAGTGTGTAATGAGCCTCAGTGCAGGTGTTTTAATAGAGGCAGCTGTCATGCATAGATTGTGTGTTGACTTCCTCAGCAGAGATCATTCTGCCCTGTACATCCATCTGTTCTGAAAACATCATCTCTTGGGAGAAAGTTGCTCTTCAGATTACCAACCCACCCCCATTTCTAGGATAGAGCAAGCAGAGCAGGGACAGGGTCAACGCAACTCCCTGCAAGTGCTAGGAAGTCTCAAAATAGATGAGAGAATAGTTGTCTGGCAGTGGACAAAACCTGAATATGTGAATGGATCCTGTACCAAATACTTTCTGGAAGGACCAGGAGTTGTTACAGGCAACACCAAGTGGAAAAGCTTTCCTATTTATAATGAATCAAATTCATAAGGTAAATCTAATTCCTCAGTTCCAATGATTTTAACCTCTCACTAATTTCAGTTGATCTCTCAGTTGGAGTCTTTCCATAAAGACAGCTCCAGATACTCAGTGCTGGGCACATGCGGTTTGCTGAGCATGGAAATTCTGTTCCATGTGGGGTGGTGGACATTGTGCTGTTAAAGGCAAAAGTGAGGGCTAAGCAGTGAGGCCCTGTCCTGGTTTCAGCTGGGATAGAGTTAATTTTCTTCCTAGCAGCTGGTATGGTGCTGTGGTTTGGATTTAGGATGAGAATAATGTTGGTAACACACTGGTATTTTAGTTGTTGCCAAGCAGTCAAGGACTTCTCAGCTTCTCATACTGCCCTGCCAACGAGAAGGCGGGGGGTGCCCAAGAAGCTGGAGGGGACACGGCCAGGACAGCTGACCCCAGCTGCCCAAAGGGATACTCCATACCATATGACACCGTGCTCCGTATATAACTGGGGGCGGGCTGGGAGGTGGCACGGCTCGGGAACCAGCTGAGCATCGGTTCCGGGTGGTGAGCAATTGTACTGTGCGTCGCTTGTTTTGTATATTATTATTATTATTAATTATCTTTTTTTGTTCTATTTAACTGTCTTTGTCTCAACCCATGAGTTTTACCTTTTTCTTTTTGATTCTCTCCCCCATCCCACTGAGGGGAGGAGTGACCGAATGCCTGTGTGGTGGTTGTTTTAGCTGCCTGCAGGGTGAAACCACGACAGCCCTCTGAAGTCCCAACCAGCTCCTGTTTACATGCATGTTTGTCTTTGGGTGCCGCAGTCTCTGCTTAGCAACGTGTAACTTCAGTGCGCTCAGGTGAGGACAGCAGGTTGAAACCCAGAGAGTGACTCTGAAGTGGATGCTTGCTCCTTCACCTACACAATTTCTGCTACTTACTATTTTGCTAGGCTGAACTGCATAAGATTTCTACCTGTAGGTACTTTCGGATGGTGAAACTGCAGCAACTGCAGAAAAAAAATCTTTCAAAAGGAAACTCCCATTATTACAACCTCACCAGATGCTTTTTTTGCTGTGACTAGACTGAATTGTTGAAACTGTCATTTTACGGGCCATGTCTGAGAGACCTCAGAGAATTCTGAATGTGACTGTTATAAAACATTGGGCACAGTGAGACCACATCAAGGCACTCCAATGAAAGCTTCGCAACATGCAGACTCAATTCTTTTAATTTGCTGGGAAAGCACTGGCTTGTGGACTCTGCAATACCTAGTCTTTCATTTCTTTTGCTCATGGGACTAGTTCAGAGGCCACCCTTAATTGTTTTATTTCACTAGGAGTCCTTTTCTAATATTTAATCAATTTTATATGTAATTGATGTATTTTAAATGATGCATAAAATTTAGAGAAAAATAACAGACATTTTCTGTAACTAAAGAAAAATATATGTGCAACCAAAGTAACACGTTCCTTGGCCAATTCCATCCTATTCAATTACAGCGATGGTATCATCTCAAGAGGCTATTGATTATACAGCTCACTTAAGTGAACTACATCTAGGTCAGTGGTCAGAGAGGGAAGAATTCTTTATCCTCAGATCTGTCAAGGGCTCCTTAGGTTAATAATACGGGAACAGCTCTGAGCCTCTGTCTCCACAAAGAAACTTAAGATCATGTTTGCAAATGAACTTAAATGAACACACCAATGCAAGGGATGTTTTGAGGGTGTATGCTATGCTGAAAGATACTAAGTAACTTATGCTGAGTACTTTACCTCATTTATATTGATGAAATGATTGATAGATTCTTGGGATTTTTTTTTAATGCTCTAGCATTACATGCATTTAAATGTCATTATTAGAATGGAATTGCTCAGTGATATCTTTTAAACAAAATACCACTGAGGAGGAACAAATCCTATTTTTCACAATAGCTATTTTTACTGATTTTTTTTCTAACACTGGGCTGGAGTTATGGAGTCTGTAAACTCCCTCCACAACTGCAAACGAGGTTCCAGGAGAAAGCGGGCACCGTATCAGGACACTGCAGTGTAACTCCCCAGCCAGCTCCGCACCTAGGAAAGGTTCATAGGTTGTAGTTTCATATTATCTAAGCTATCTTGAGGGATTTACCTTATCTCAGTCTAGCTGGGAGGGGGCTGCAGGACACTGGCCACACAGCTTATCCAAGAAGAGCAACCAGTGATTCATTGCACCCAATTCTAACACTGGTCTTGGATGGGGAAAAGCCAAGCTGAGAGGTACCTCTGAGGCACCTTCCCACTGACAGCAGAAGAAATCTAGATGAATGCTTTTGGCTAGATGGCCCATTTGGGGGCTGATAAAGTTAGACCCTTGATGACAGCATGATTTTGAGATGAAATTATACCTCCGGGCATGATTCCCAGTTCTTCTTGTTTGGGCAAACTAGCTTAATATAGGAAACAGAGATTGGGACCTCAACTAGAAAGCAGGGCTACATCCTCACCCTGCCAGGTGCCACTGAAGATAAAAGAATAGGTATGAGCAGCTCACAAATTACTCCAGACATTATCTACACAGGGAGCATGTCTCCAGGAAGGGATTCTCAGCATCTTCTCATACGGGCAACAGCGTGAGCATGCTGCAAAGTAGAACTCTTCAAAACCACATGGATGGATGCACAGCAACAGTAGATTGGTGACAACATTACTGTACTAAACTGGTAGCCATAATTGTGCAGAAGTATGAAGTATGAATGACGCTTACTTTTAAGCTCTCAAATTATTGAAAATAAGTATGTTCTGAGCTATGATATGGAGTTCAGGCAATGCCAAAGCAGCTTGCAAGGAATGTATTTCTGAAAGGG